TTTGTTTGTTTTGTTTTGTTTTTAAGACAGTCTCACTCTGTTGCCCAGGCTGGAGTGCAGTGGTGCAATCTTGGGTTCAGCGACTCTTGTGTCTCAGCCTCCCAGGTAGCTGGGATTACAGTCATGCGCCACCACGCCTGGCTAATTTTTGTATTTTTTTTTAAGTAGAGACAAGGTTTCACCATGGTGGCCAGGCTAGTCTTGAACTCCTGGCCTAAAGTCATCCACCTGCCTCAGCCTCCCAAAGGACTGGGATTACAGGCCTGAGCCACTGAGCCTGGCCCAGCTCTGGTTTTAAAAAGAGAACTCCTTTTAGGTAGATTGGGAGAAAGACAGCAAGGGGATCTACTAAGACTATTGTGTTTAACCAAGGGAGAAATGCTGAAAGCCTGAAGAAGTGGTAGGAGTAAAAAGAGGGGCTGATGTGATGAATGTCATGGATTCAACAGCTGATTGCTTCCTTGACTGACAGTATACAGGAGATGAGGGAGAGAAAGGAGTTGACCGTCATCTCAGGGGCTCTGGCTGGTTGTCTGGGAGAATGGGGAGTACTGAAGGAGAAGCTGACAGGAAGGGAGAAGAGGGGAAGTGATGAGCTCAATTTTATAGTTTAGAGTGAAGGAATCGTTGGATAACCCAAAAGAGCTGTCCAGCACGCAAAGGGAAATGTGGGTCTGCAGCTGAGGAGGAGGGAGGTAGCTGAATGTAGAGATCTGGGGATTGTTTGCTTGGATGGTGGCTGTGGGTATGGGGATGAATACAATGCCTTGGGAGGGTAGGACCAGCAATACAGCTATGGGCAGAATCCTAGGAAAGGGGCAGAGTTGAGGGATAAACTGAGGAAGAAGAGTGTGTGAAGAGCCGAGAGGAAGCAGTATGTGATAAAGAAGGACCTGTGGAGAGCTGTGTCAAGTGGGGAGAGAACTTCTGGCGCTGCCATTTATTTACCTGCCTTGCCATCGGCAAGTAGATTAAGCTCTTGGGCCTTACTTTCCAGTAAAATCAGGAAGTTGGACTACATAAGCTTTACAGGCTCTTCAATGAGAAAATATATTAGGAAAAAAAATTGAAATCATTTCAAATGGATGTTGTGGTTTTCTCTGAGTCCCTCTAGCTGTTTGTTCATATCACTCATCTAACACTGAATACAGACTGCTGTGTGTTGATGTTTTATACTTGTGTGCAAACTTTTGAGCTGTGATAGATGGCGTCACTCCCATTCTTGATTATTCATTTGTTCACTCATTCACGTCTAACATATCTGCTGTGTGCATCCTACATGCTGCTATATACACAGTGCCAGGAGCACAGTGAGCAAGGCACAGTGCCGGAGCCTCAGTGGCTTAGAGGGATTCACCAACAAGAAAAAAAAGCAGTTACAACTCGGGAAGAAAAAGTTCCTATCAACAATAATAGAACATGTGTTGCATTTGAGTAAAAGAGAAAAAATCATTAGGAATCACTTTACTTTAAATATTTTTACTGCTATAGAAAGACTGAGATGGCTTTCTTAATATATGAATCAAAAATTGGGGTGTTTTGATAAACTGAGTAATTTAAGAAAAGCCTAGTAAGTGATGTTGAAGCACTTTTACCAAATGATAAAATTTTTGAACTATCATTAATTTTCACAATAACCATTAATTGAATGATTCATATAATTGATAGAAGCAGTGTTTCACAAGTACTTGAAACAAGTAAATCCTATAAAAATTCAACATATAAATAACTGGAAAGTAACAAATGAGTTTTTAAGAAGTAGGATAATTATTTTCTTAGATGTCAGTAACTTGAGAAAAATATGTGGAAGCAAAGCAAAAATGCAATCTTCTAAGACTTTCCTTAACTGTCAGAATCTAGGGAGGGCCGGGCACAGTGACTTACACCTGTAATCTCAGTGCATTGCTTGAGTCCAGGAGTTCAAAACTAGCACCTGGGCAACATAGCAAAACCCCATCTCTACTAAAAATACAAAAATTAGCCAGGCATGGTGGCGTGCACCTGTAATCCCAGCTACAGTGCACACCTGTAATCCCAGCTACTTTGGGTGGCTGAAGCGTGAGAATCACTTGAACCCGGGAAGCAGAGATTGCAGTGAGCCGAGATTGCACCACTGTACTCCAGCCTGGGAGACAGAGTGAGACTCTGTCTCAAAAAAAAAAACTGAGGGAGAACTTTACTGATAAGAAGTTGTCTTCCACTCCTAAAGAGGAAATCACTTTTTTGTTTGTTTGTTTTTTAGAGACAGGGTCTCACTGTGTTGTCCAGACTGGCCTTGAACTCCTGGGCTCAAGCAATCCTCCAGCCTCAGCCTCCCCAGTAGCTAGGATTACAGGTGTGCACCACCACACTCATCTGGAAATCACATTTCTAATTGTATTATTCTTTCTAAAGAGGGGCTTGCTTGTTATAAGCTTTCCTTCTACATTATAATGTGAGGACACATTGGGACACAAGTGTACAAAGTACAATTCATTCATTATTCAACAAATGTTTATTGAATTCTGACAAGGTGCCAGACAGTTCCCATTCTCCAATTAGGAATAGATTAGTGGGCAGGACATAGTTCCTGTGCTGCCAGGAGGGAGAGAGAGACGATAAGAAACACACCTGGCCAGGTGTGGCTCACACCTGTAAGCCCAGCACTTTGAGAGGCTGAGGTAGAGGAGGATCTCTTGAGGCCAGGAGTTGTAGACCAGCCTGGGAAACAAAGGGAGACCCCATCTCTACAAAAATACAAAAATTAGCCAGTTGTGGTGATGTGTACCTCTAGTCCCAGCTTCTTGAGAGGCTGAGATGGGAGGATTACTTGAGCCCAGGAGTTTGAGGCTATATTGAGCTATGATTATGCCATTGCTCTCCTACCTGGGTGACAGAGCAAGACGCTGTCTCTAAAAAAGAAAAGAAAAGAAACATTCCAGATAATGAGAAGTGCTATGGAGAGAGTTAAAACAGGATGATGTAGAGACGCCTGACTGG